TGGGTGTCGGGGGAACGCACCCTGCTCCCGGCTGCCTGGCTCGGGGCTAGCCAGCATTGCTTTAGCACTCTCCCCTCCAAAATCAACACAAGCAGCACCTTTTGCTAAGTTTTTGAAGTGAGCTCAGCAGTCGTGGAGGAGGTTTTGCTGTGTGGCAAGTCATTGGAAGCGGTGGTTTGTTTGAAAAAGGACAAAACCTGTTGAAGTATGGTAACCACCTTGCTGACTGTACTTCTGCTTAAATAAATAAAATTGTTGTTGCTGTGTAAGCAAATGAGGCCAAATGCTAAACTGAAATTGTATTTCCATCGAGATGCAATATTGCCTTCTGAAATACGCTGCCTGCCTGGTGGGAGGAAATACTGCCAGAGCTGCTGGGGTTGGCTTGGCAGAAATCAGCAGGAGTCGTATCTGGGTGCAGAAAGGCATTTGATTAAAAGCGAAAAGTTCTGTTATTTTTTTAGAGGGGGACAAATCCTGTCGCCTCTTGGGCAAGTGGCTAAAGGCAGTCGAAGGCAGAAGGATAGTTCTGATGTTGACGGGACCATGGTCTGTGTCATCACAGCTGCCACAGGGTGCGATGTCTTTGCAGATATTTGATCGACCTTGTGCCAGTCCAAATTCTGAAACACTCCAGCCTGTTTGTTCTTTATTTTATTATTCTATTTATAGTGGGAAAACTATAATTCTTGGTTTGCGTTTAGACCTAGGTTAGGCAGCTTTCAGCCCCTTTATTTTCTTCTAGAAAATTCAGGAAAAGGCGCAGGAGCATATTTCAGAAGGTGAGTGTGTTAGTGAGTGTTATCAGCCGCGGTGTGACGGGTGCTCTGCCACCCTGCCTGTTGGTAACGTGGCTCATTAGCACTTGAGCTGAGGAAAAACTTTGCTTTTGAAGATGTTATTCTAAAAAGTTTCTGTTCTGTAATAAATCTGCTTTTATTGAAATGGAGTATTTAATTTTATCACCGTTGTTACAGCGTATCAGTCTCTAGTGTGGGCAAAGCCTATTGTGACTGCAGAGTGAAGATCATCGTCGAAAGGATGGTTTTCATGGCAACACTTCTGTCGTGTCTTTATACGGAGAGCTGACAGGCTGGAACGCTGGTGTGCAAAGCTTTCCAGCACTCTCGAACAAATAACTGAAGAACCTCAAACATTTTGTCGTTCTCAAGTGGTCTGCCAAGGTTTCAGGAGCCCGGCTGTGTCCCTGGTGGTGTTTGGTGATGGGGGCACGCTGGCTTTGGGCACATTCACCGTGTTCATCTGTCTGAGCAGCTCTTGCCAGTTCAGGCGATGTCCACAGCCTGCCTGCATTGCTCTTCTCCCCTTTTCTGTGGTGTACGTGCTCTCTTTTTTTCCTGAAAGACTGAAAAGTGAAATAAACTTTCTTTCCCCAAGCTACAATGGTTGCAAGAGTTTGAAGGTGTACATCGGTACCAAAACATCTTGTTTCCCGAAGCCTGAGCGTGATGATGCATATCCCAGTGTTATCTACGTTACGTTCCAAAAGTCGGGGTGAGGATGGGGCCCATCCAGAGGGAAGACCTGGCATCCTTGGAAGTAAGCGCTTCCCCTGTAATTAAAGTGATTCATGGGATTTTGCCGAGTTTCTGACAAGGACATTGATGGTTCCAGCTCACACGAGCTCTTCAGTGACCCTGACATTTTGCAGTCCTCACTTTTCACGATAGACTGCCGTGATTTAGGTCTCTGCAAAGGTGTCTGTCAGCAAGCTGATGGAAGGAGCGATTGCGAGTCCAGCGGTGTTAAATTGCAGCGAGCAGCTGAGACAGCCTGCCCTTTTTTCCTTTTCTTCCCCTCCCTCAAAAATAGTTTTTACAAATGAGGTCTGCTTTGTCCTTGCTGTCAGAGGCTCTCGCTGATTGTCAGAGCGTAATGTGCGAGACAGCAGGAGATGTGATACCGAGATGACAGCGATATTCCTCAGGGGGAAAAGTACTTTCTGGAGCCTTGTGACATTCTGGTTATGTAGATGCATGCCCAAATAGACATTAAAAAAGCTTTAGTTTATAGCCACAGGATGGATTGAAAGAGCACGTTGGACCGGGGAAATGTGCTCACCCCGAAGTGGCTTATCTGAAGAATGACATTAAGGAAATTTGTGTAGTGGAACTCTACAGAAATAATAGAAGTGATGTGACTTCTACCCCTTTGAGAGAGGTAGAGATGATGTTTTGAAAAAAACCATATTGTTCCAAATAAATCTTCATAAGGGTGTGAGGAGACAATCAGGAGATCGCTGTGTGTCTCCTGTGCCTGTGGTGTCTGGTGATGGGGGTGGTTCTCACGGGGTCCGTGGTGCCGCTCTCCTAACGGGGCGGGAGGCGGGTACCCCCGAGTCCTAGCGCATGGCGATGGGATTCCTCGGGTGGGTTTGGCTGGTGGGCGGCTGAGTCACCGTCCCTGTCCTCAGCGTGTATTCGAATGCAGTCTGAGAGCTGAGATTCACTCCTCTGCCAAAGCTTAAACTTTAATTCTGGACGATGATCAAGATGAACTGTCGTTGAGCAATACTGTGTTACAGATCCCTCAGCTTGTCCCCGGGGTACCACAAACTGTCCTCCCGTTTCTGGGATGGGGGGTTGAGTAGTCCCACCCAGGAGCAGGAACTGGGTTGTGTTTGTTGTCATCTGCGCCTGTTCCAGCCGGAATGGGTGCCTGCGTGCCCTGCTGGCAGCTCCCTCCTGGCGCCGCTTCCGAGCTGGAGTCCCGGAGCTCTGCTGGGGCTCTGTGCAGCTAAGGAGGTGTGTTGCCTTCCCTTCCCGTCCTGCTCCCCCTGCTCTGCCCTCACCATTAACACCCAGCATGGAGGTTTCCAAAGCTCTGAACAGCGTTCATCCTCGCAGCGCTGGAGGAGGCACAGCGTTGGCATCTTCCTGGCTGTACATGAGGGCGGGAGGAAAAGGAACTCACCCGACGCCGCGTAAGATGTGAGGACGGCATCCTCTCAATGTCTGCCTCTCCCCGCACTCCTCGTGGGTAGCTGTTTTCTGTGAATCTTGCAGCCCCTCTGAGAAGGGACAGTCATATTGGGAAAAAATGCCGAGTGTGTTTTAAAGTCCAACAGAAAATCTATACTGTATTAATGAGTAGTTATTTTAAGCGTTTTGAATAAAAAAATAAGAAGCATACCTTGTTCCCCAAGAAAGTTGATATTCAAGTCCCAGGCTTGGGCTGCTGGCAGCAGTTTTGGATTTCAGACTGTCAGTCCTTAACAGCATCAGCAAGGTCCGGATCAACTCACAACCCGAGCTGGACCAAAGGGGATTGGGTGTAACTGTGCGCAGAGCTCTCCAGCTGGTGTAAGGGTTCAAACACCCCATTCCCGACTCCACTGAGAACTGGCTTCAAAGTGGCCGTCGAATGGCTCAGCATGGGGCTTGCAGGGGAGTCCCAGCAAGGATCACTTTGGTTTCTAATTAGCGACCTCCTGACTTGGGAGAGGCGGCTGCTTTGCTGCAGAGGCTGCTCTGCAATGCAATGTTGGCGTGAAATCCCCCCTGGAACCCTTGTGTGGCCCTGTGTCCCCTCTGCCTGCTGGGGGGGACCCGGTGACAAACACTGCTGCAGAGACCTGGGTTTTTCCTCTGAGAGCAAGCCAGCCAGGGCTTTTTTATAAGATGTTAATTTCTAGCTGCTTTAGAAACTGTATTTGTACAAGGGAGTACGCTCCGTCTGACCCCGCAGGGCGGTCGTACTGCTCTGCGTATCAGCAGAATACATTGCGCTTGCTTCGTGTAGTTTGTCTGGATGCTTTTAATGTTTGAGGACTTCTTACAGAAGGGAAGCTCAGCTGTATTAAGATTAAATCCCTAGGATGCCTCGCCAGGTTGGGTGCATGTTTCTGGAGCTTCCCCATCCCATCTCGGATGCTTTCTGCAGGGGAACAGAGCCGTGCTGGGGAGTGCCAGGCTGTGGGTCTGTGTTTGGAGGCTCTGAGCATCCGTAAGCCAGCCCAGGACCGAGCGCTGGGCTTGGGTGGGTGGGTGGTTGTGGTTTGTTGCGGGTTTGTTTCTTCTTTTTTTCTTATGAGAAGCAAATAAGCATTAGAAAGCATGGTTAGGAAAAGTAAATGTGGATGGAGGCAGGAGCTGGGGGATGCTGAGGAACAGTTCCCAGCCACTTCTCCTCCTGTGAGAAGCGTTTGTCCATGTGTTGCTTCTGAGTCGCTGTAGGCTGTCCGCTGGTCTCGTCAGACGCAGAAATCCGATTGTGTTGGTCCTGGAGTTTCTTGGGACCTCGCATCTTATTACGGATGAACAAATACAGCCCAAGACCTTCATTCAGGTCCCAGATGAAATAAATTAGAGTGACTTTTTTGGGTCTAGGTGAACAAGATCCTGGCCCCTGGAACAGCCGGATCCGTGGGGGAACGTCGCTGGTCCACCGTCACGGGCTGTGCCTTAGTCAGGCTGCTGCCTCGGGTGTATTGGTGCCCAGAATAATAAACGTTAAGCCCAGAGGAGATGTTAGTTTGTCTGCTCTGACCTTCTGCGCATCTTGGGCTGCAGAATTTCACCGGGTTACTCCTCAGAAGAGCTGCTCTGAAGCGTGTGTGCCTTCAACCTCTGAAAGATGAAGATTGAATTGCTTCCTTTTCTTTTAACGGTCAAGTGCTCTTCTTCCTTTCTCTACTTGTGTAAAGTATTTGTTGGCACCAAGATTTTTCTCTCTTGTGGGTGTTTATCCACAGTGTTCAAATTGTTCCTTGGTAGGTGGAATGACCTTGTAGATGGAGTGACTTTACATTTCTCGCTGTATGACATTCGTTCACTAGTTTTTGTTTTTTTCTTAAGCTTTTTCTCCATCTTCTATATTTTGTACGTCCTGGTTTCAGGCAGTTCAAATGAATTGCAAGGTGTGAGTACCAGGCAAAGCATTCTAGTTCCAGGCTCAGCGATACCAGGGAAAATCGCCTCCCAGGGCGCTGCTGGCTCCTGAGCTGTCCAGCACCATCCCTAAAGCTCGGGGCTTTCCGAGCCCAGCTGCTGTTGCTTTGGCGGGGGGTGGGGGTTTTTTTCTGTTTTTTTTTTTTTTTCTACTTGATGAGTCTTTATGCAACATGGAAATTCATCTCCGTTATCTGCAGACCGTTCCTTGTTTATGGTCCTTTACCTCGCAAGCAAATTCATATATAAAAGGTTTTGGATAAGGAGAGTTTGTCTTGCAACGTAAATTCTTGGTTGTGGAAGTACTGTCTTTTGTGAGCCCTCGTTGAGGCTTAGGGTTGTGCGTGTGTGTATCGCAAAAAAATAAATTTAATAGGAAACCTACTTGTTTTTTCCTCACTTGTAGGATTCCTGGAAGGCTGAATGACAGGAGAACTCCGCTGGGAGAGCTGAATTGGATCTTCACCGCTATCACTGACACCATCGCCTGGAACGTCTTGCCTAGAGGTGAGCCTTGGGCAGGGGGACCAGCTTTCCATCAGAGGGGAGCGTTGCTTCTTCAGAACAGAAGGATGGAGAATAAGATAAATGAGACGCTGAAACAAGGAGAAAATGAAAGCCTGATATCGAAAGGATCTTAAGACTGGATCGTAAGGATAGTTAACTTGTTACATTTGCTCTTTTCTACCAGAAGAATTTCAGCAACCTGATTATTAGAAACCAGGAGGGTTTCCTTCTCGCGCCAGCATGTTTGCTTTAGCTTTAATAATTTTCTTTCTTTTTCTGCCTCACTAATCTCCAAAAACTTAGTCAGGCTGAGCTTAAGTGAAACACCAAAAGGGGAATTTTATCCAGAAAAGGCAAGCAAGAACCTGAGGTAGAAAGTATTTAGTTCTGTTAATGAAATTAAGAGTCATTGTGATGCTCTAAGGGAACTCAGAAGCAGGATTTCCTTTTAATAGTTGTCATATCATGTGAACTGCAGAACTGTTGTAGATTCCTTGTTACTGGAATAAAATATTAACATGGTTTTATGTTTTAAACGATTCTTGCATTTTACATAAGGTGCTTAAGTTACAAAGATAAGCATCTGGTAATTCATGCCATCTCCCTGCAGATCTTTTCCAGAAGCTCTTCAGGCAAGACCTGCTGGTGGCCAGCCTATTTCGTAACTTTCTCTTGGCAGAAAGAATTATGAGATCGTACAACTGTACCCCCGTCAGCAGCCCGCGCCTACCTCCGACGTACATGCACGCCATGTGGTAAGTGACAGCCCCGGGGTCGCCCCGCCGCGAGGGCTGCGTGCCGGTGCCTTAAGGAGATTTCGGGCGCCGTAGCGATGAGCGATTGTTTCCGCTTAAATCTGCACGGCGCTTTGCACGGATCAAAAATGAAACGGCACGTGGCAGCGTAATACCTGTCGCCAAATGGATTCTGCTCTATGCATACATAATTATAGGCAGATCTGTGATACAGAAGCTGCAGCTCAGCCGTGTAATCTTTCACTCCAAATAGAAAAGACATCGGGCATCTGCTGCCTTTCTTTTCCCAGGGTGAAGCTGCTCACCTGCGGTGGTGATGGAGGGGAGAGCGGAGGGCCGGAGGGGAAGGGTCTCAGCTTGGCTTGTTGAAGGGATTTTTTGCTGCAGAGTTCATCATCTCCTTGCGCTGTTGTTTTTAAGATGATGGGTGGAAATGGAGGTGGCACAGTTATCAGAAAGCTCTGCAGTGTGGTTTTGACTATCAAACAAATGTCTTGTGAAGAGGAATAATAAAAATAATATTAACAGTAGTAACAAGAATACTTGCTTTCATTTTGTTATTCAGTACGATTAAGAGCAGAGCAGTACAGAATTTGGCCGAGTACAAACTGGTGCAGGCAAGCTGATGTAGTTCCTGTGAGTTTCCTCCATAAAATTGTGGAGGAAAATAAATGTGGAGGGGGCAGGAAGGGCTGAGGATCAGCGTGACACTGAGCAGCGTCAGCGGGTGAGGAGGGGAGAGCGGAGGGCCGGAGGGGAAGGGTCTCAGCTTGGCTTGTTGAAGGGATTTTTTGCTGCAGAGTTCATCATCTCCTTGTGCTGTTGTTTTTAAGATGATGGGTGGAAATGGAGGTGGCACAGTTATCAGAAAGCTCTGCAGTGTGGTTTTGACTATCAAAGAAGTGTCCTGTGAAGAAGAATAATAAAAATAATATTAACAGTAGTAACAAGAATACTTGCTTTCATTTTGTTATTCAGTACGATTAAGAGCAGAGCAGTACAGAATTTGGCCGAGTACAAACTGGTGCAGGCAAGCTGATGTAGTTCCTGTGAGTTTCCTCCATAAAATTGTGGAGGAAAATAAATGTGGAGGGGGCAGGAAGGGCTGAGGATCAGCGTGACACTGAGCAGCGTCAGCGGGTGAGAATTCATGGCGTGGGTTCCTGCAGAAGCAGAAGCAAGCTGACGCCGGAGAGCCCCAGCAGCAGCTGCAGGTGCTTGCGGCCAGCGAGGAGGCGTGTGCTGGTTGTACGGAGCTGCTCCGGTTATTGGAAAGCGTGGAGGCAGTAGGGAGGCTTGGGCTGGAGTTATTGCAACGGGGCAGCCTCGCCAAAGGTACCGTGTGCGCAGCAAACGATCTTCTCAAGTGCTTTGGATTAGCGACTTTTGAGGAAAATTGCTCCGGTCATCTGTAAATATGGCGAGTTGTTTGTCACTGTGTCACATCAGGGACTGGGACATTTGTAAGTGAAGAGCAGAGGGAACCGCTGGGGTTCCCGTGGGGTCTGCCAGAGGATGTGGCCGTGGATGTGGCAGAGCTGGAGCCACAGGACTGCGCGTTTCCAGTTGCCGTGGAGTAGAACACGTTTTGGCAGAAATTTTGAAATTAAACCCGTAAATTTCTTGAGTTATTTATAGCTTGCTTATTGCCAACATATTAAAAACCTGTATTTCCAGTTCCACATGGGAATATAATTCATTCTTATTGCCGGCACATTAAAAGCCTGTACTTCTGCTGTCCTGTGGGAGCGTGACTTGACTAGGAGCTGGTGCTGCCGTCCTCGTGCTGAGCCGCAGGAATGAAACGAGGAGGACCTGGATCCCATCCTGTGTCTCTGCAGACCTGCACGGTAGCACGATGGATTCTAGGAACACATTCCGTAAGAAAAGTCACCTTTGGGGCTTTTTTCCTTGCGAATCCCAAACACTAGCAAAGTAGACAGCCAGTGAGCAGAGAACCCCTTGACACACTTTATTCAGTGTCCTCCAAAAAATGTGCAGTTTGACACAAATCTAGCAAAGGGGAAAATTCCACTTTTGTCAGAGGTGGCTCGGTTCAGTGTTATGAACTTTTAGTAAGGACAGATTTAGAAACTAATTTAGGGCTCGCTTAAATATTTTCTAAAAATAATGATCCGCGCTTATCTGTATCACCTTTCATTCAAGCATTTTCTAATGGGCCCCCGATCTGAAACCTCCAAACCCATTTAGCAGTTTAGGTGAACCCGGCGATGTGGCTGGGGGCAGGAGAGCTGGCCAAGGGAGTGCGGAGGGGAACGGAGACTTCAGACAGTGGGGTTTGATGGTCACGGTGAATCTGCGTCTGCATTGTTGCGTTGTGGATGATACAGCACGGTTTTGCTGATTACTGTTTTATTGAGAATTTTCACAGATTTTTTTCATACCCAGCGTGTCAGAAAGTGGTTTTGGGAGCGAGTCCCGGCTGCTGCGGCGTCAGCAATGGTTTGATCTGCAGGCGGTGGCAGGAACCTCCAGGGTTCCCTCCTACGGTGATAGAAACGTGTCGTGAGTGCAAACAGCGGCTCTGGGGTGTATCCTCCTCCAGGATCCCACTTCAGACCGTCAGGGACTTCCCCACCCCTTGTCCTCTTCCTCCCTTCTTTGGGCGGTGGTTGTTGGGGCTGTTGAATGGCCCCATCCCTCGCTGGCATCCTGCGCGCACCGCCTGCGAGTTCCTCACCCAGGCTTTGGTTTGTCCTTGCAGCCAGGTGGTGGTGGGATGTTTTAGGGTCTCCAGTACATATGTGTGTGTGTTCTCCTCTCTTCCATTACTCTCTGGATGCTCAACTGGGTTCCTGGGCTTTGCCCCTCCATGCACAAAGGCACCACACCAGATCACTGCCTTTCTCTGCTGTTACGGACTCCAGCCGTTCTGCACATTCCCAGCTGGGAGAGGGACTGAAGGTGGGATCTACGTGCAGACATAATCCATATCCCAGCATAGCTCCTGAGGGGTTACAGCTGCCCCTTTTCGTGCATTCCACCTGAACCATTTGCTCTTTGTCTCTCTTGCTTGCCTTTCTCTCTGCTTGTTTGAGAATTTTCCCGAAGTCACGCTCAGATGTCTCACGATTTGGGGGTCTTGCGTGGCTGCAGTAGGAGCACGGAGGTTGCTGGAGGTACGAGCTTCTGCTCGTCTTGGTGTGGTCCTTTTGAAAACAACTTTTTAAGATTTTGACTTTTTTTTGAAAATTTTAAAATTTTGTTGTAGTCAATTCATTTAGGAGACCACTGTGACCTGCTCTGTTAATGATCCTGTTTACCGGAACAATTGAGGAAAAATGAAAATTTATTTTTTGATGGAAAATTTGACCCACAAGCTTTCAATCGTTTTAGCTCACCAAGAAGGGCACCGTGTTTAGGAACCGGCAGAGCTGATCTCTGTGACCCTGCCCTGTTCGGTAGGCTCTGACACATTCCTTCGTTCTTTCGTGTCTCTCGGTTTTATTGGCTTTCTCTGTTTCACCTGCTTGGGCATAAACCCTTCTGGGCAGGAGGTGTTTGCGTTTGCGTGGTGCCTGGCGCTGGAGCTCCTTGGCTGCTGCAGGCGCTGCTGTAATACAAGTATTAACATTAATCCGCACTGATTGACTGGCTGTGCTGCTCGGCTTGGAGAGTCCTTGTGTCTATTGTGCAGGAAGAATGGGGGCCTGATGCTCTGTCAGCATCTTGAGCTCTCTTGTGATGGATTATGGTTTATACGTTACTGCTGGTGGCAGCAAGTTATAGTCACAGCCTTTGAAAAGACCTAATAATGTGTTTGGAAATAGTTCCCAACACAGGTCGTATATTAAAAAATGAAGTACCTTAATTGTGCTTGGGAAGAGCCATGATTTGTCCATAATAGAAATATTGCAGCAGTGTGTGCACCAGCCCTGAGGTTCTGCTTGAAAGAAAGTCATAGCGTAGTGCAAATAAAATAAGCTTGAAATTCTAGCTGCGAGGAAAACCATAATGTAGCAACCCAATTACAGGGGAGAGAGGAGCTGGAGTCTCTGAACGTTTGGGAGCGTTGCGCAATGGGTGCAGGGCTGCTCGCCGGTTCCTCAGGGGAGGGGCTCTCATTCAGCCGCACAGAAAGGCTTGGTGTCTGCAAGACAGCGATTGTTAGTGTTTGGAACTATGTGACGTTTGAAGGATCAGATTAATTCACATGACACCAGTGATTTAACCAAATTTTCTTGTGTCTATGTCTTAGTCTTAACATCTCCAAGACCCATTAACGGACTACAGATAGTTTGATGGAGAGAAAAGGAGGAGGGAAATAGCAAAGCGTGAGCTTGAAGGTGTGGCTAGAGCAGGGGAGTGCATTGGGAGAAGGAAGAAGGATTTCATAGTGGTACCAAATATTCATAGCCATAAATATTTTTTAAAATAGCTGTGTGTGAGCGGCTTCCCAGCTGCCTCCCCTGCGGCAGGCTCGGGGAGTTCACGGTGTCGCTGGGAAGCAGGTGGATTCAGGCTGAAATCGGGAAATTCAATCTAACAGGGTGTGCTGCTGAATTGTACTTGCAGAAAAAAACAAACATGAAAAATCTTGTCCAACATACTTGAAAAGCTCTGAAATGTTCAGCAGTTCCAGAAATACAATCCAAACAAGCAGATACCCTGGTGCCTGAGCCCCGAGACTGCAGGTGGCTTCAGCGTCCCGTTAGCTGCTCCTCAGCCTGAGCGTCCCGGGAAGAAATACTGATGTCACTGATAGTGTGTGCGGTGCGTGTAATACAAACTGCTCCCAGAAGAAGAGAGAACGCTAAAAGACATCAACAACACGTTATAAAAGATGTGACATGAGAATTAAAAGCATTAGACATTGACTCAGCCCAGAAAATTCCAGCTGAGTGTAAGAAAACCCGCCTTCGTGGTCTGCCAGCTGCGCGGGGATGCGGGGGAAGGAGGACCAAGGCGCATCTCTGTAACCGGGTTTCGTCTGTGCCGTTGAAGTGGTGCTGTGGGCTGCCATTGCTGAACGAGTCGTGGATTTGCACAATAAACCAGTCACTGAGCAAAGCTGGAGCCCTCAGCCTTCTGTTCTTTGCTTAAAAGTTCAAACTTTGCAGCACCTCCGGGAAACGCAGTAGAGGCAGCTGATGAGCTCGTGTTCAATTATTGAACGTTTAAACAGTCCTGCTGTAATGAAACTGGTATTGCACTGGGGGGGAGACAGATGGAGTCTGGGGGGCATGTGGGTAGGGACTCTGTGCTGAAGGGCAAAGAAAAATTGAAACTCAGATATAAAGACAAAAATACGAGTATTTCTTTACGGGAGAAGAGAGTTAATAATGGAATTCAGGGGAGCTCTTTC